TTCCCCGGGTGGCCCTCCCCGAGCGCCCTCATGTTCCTGACGCTGCTCGGTGTGGCCTTGCTGGGTGAGCCTGGGCGGGGGGATGGGGGCAGTGCCCCACGCCGGCTCCCCCTGCTGCCCCCGCCTTTGCTGTGGCACCGCTGCTCATTTCCTTCCCGTGCTTGCCTCTCTCCTCCAGAGCAGCTGGTTATTTACCAGGTCGGCGTCATCCCCAGCCAGTACTATGAGGTCCTAGGGAACAAGGACTTCTCTGGGTTCAAAACACTGACTGCTGTTGCCCTGACTCTGATCGTAGTGAACTCCACGGTAAGGCCAGAGGCACCCGCGTTTTGGGGGAGGAAGGGAAAGCTGCCCACGGCTCCTGGCGCGATCCGGATCACAAAGGATCTAAGTCTGCCGGTGACCCATTAGGTAGCTACACGTGGGATGGATCACAAGGAAAAATTACTAGTTTCTATTTCATTTGGGGAAATGCTTGTCCTCATTTACCTCTTCCCATCTGTCTCTTTGCCCTCATTCCAGCTAAAAAGCTTCGACCAGTTTATCTGCAACATGATGTATGTGAACTGGAGGAAATCCCTCACTGAATACCTCCACAGCTGCTACTTCCAAGGCCATGTGTACTACAGCCTGCACGTGCTGCGTGAGGACATCGATAACCCGTAGGCTGCCTGCGGCTTCTTTCAGTATCTTGCTTGGCTTCTCCTGGGCTGCTGCACACCTTTTCCTGACTTCTCTGTGTCTCTGGGTAGGGGCTTGAGCCCTAGAAGCTTTTACCATCTAAGCACAAATACCTTCTTCTGCCCTGATGGGAGGTGGTACCTGTTGCTGGGATCTCCCGTTGGTGTCCGTTGGTCGTCATGGTTTTAGGGCTAGGGTGGTTCAGTTGTGAGGAAAATGGATGCCCATCAGAACAGAGATCTAGTGCTGCTATAAAACATGCTGTCTGCAAAGTCAACCCTTGGCACTCAGTGTGATGTTGCCAAAGGCCCAGCTGCAGTCAGAGGGCACTGCCTCTCCTTGCCTTCATGCAACCAGCACATTAGAACAGTCCCTGTTCTGTTTGAACTTCAACCACCAGAGTTGAACACAGTTCTGTTTAGTTGCTTTTTAATGGTTTTGATAAGCTGTAGGAGCCATGTCCAGGAAGGGCTTTGTTTTGAGGGCTGCATTTCTCTAGGAAGGTAATGTTAGAGAGGATTTGAAATATGAGAGAAGGAGGAGTATTCAGTCCCTCCTTGTTTATCCCAGCCCACCCCAAGTGAGATCACTCTGCAGTTTGCTTTGTGCACTGCCCTGCTTACTGCTGAGCTGCTGATCTCCCTGGGCTGTGCAGCGAAGGTTGAACACCTCCCTTCCTCACAACTGCCTCTGGACCTTGGCCTGTCAGCCTGTCTTTACACTGCTGTCATAGTTACATGCTTTGATGAGTTAAAGACCCTGCATTAGACATCATGTGAGAGGTAGAGGCTTTCTTTTCCTTTCCAGCATTTATAGAAGTTATTATTAGGTACTTACTGAAAAGCTAGAAATCAAATTGTGTGGCTTTATACAGTTGTTTTGAGACTAAGATCTCCTCCCTTGGAGGAGTCACCTCTGGTCTACTCCCTGCACTGGTGCCATCTTCCATGCCAGTGGGTCCAGAGGAGACCAAGCCCAGAGTCCCAGGGAGAAATAGCTGTCTTGCAGGGTCTCCTAACTCTGGTTAATAGTGGTGACCTCAAGGAACTGAAGCAGCCTCAGTGCCTGGTGCTCCTGGCTGCCTGTCCTTGCCCCTCTGTTGCACAGCATGGTGGTCTGTGTGGCTGCAAGAAGGAGATGTGCCAGGTCTCATAGATGGCTTTTGTATCACTTTTCAGCCAGACCCATTACGTGACTGCTTCTGCTGGCCCAGTGATAGACAGCCCAAGTAAGAGCAACCAGCTGTGTACAGGGGGAGCAGCAAACAAGGAGAGAGGGCTCAGCTTGGGTCCCACAGCCCTATGTGTTTGGCAGTAGGTGACCATCATCATGCTGATGTAGTTTCCGGCTGCTGTTAGGTTTACTCCCACCATCATTAAATGTTTATTTCTGATAGTGTTTTGCAGTGGTATGGAGTTGCAAGGAGAGCTTAAAAAGCCATGCCTGCCACCAAGGCATGCAGCCCTTCCCAGGCAGTGTAGCATGTTGGCCATACGCAGAAGCTCCTGCATGCCTGTCTTTTACTTTGGGAGCAGTGGGGAAGGGGAGTACAGAAGCACCTCACCACATGACTATTCTGCTCTGGTTTATTTTTAACCATGGAATGTGTTCACCTTGTGCAGTAACATGCAGGAGATAACTGGGTCAGTCTACTCTGCTCTCCTGACCTTAGCAGACAGAATGTGTGGGATTACTGTGGAGTATTTCTCATTACCACCTTGCTTCTGCTCCAACATCCAATCTCATTGTTTGGTATCTTTTTGGTGCCACTGCAAAAAAGCTCTTAATCTTGCATTCCTTGACAAAAAGTTTTTCCCTCCACTGGGTACTTAAAGAATGAAGTAGAGCAATGAAGAGAGCTCCTATTAGGCAATGCAAACCAAACTGAGTGTTAGATGCATGAAGTCATCCATCTCAAAGCAATGAAGAGTGGGCTCTGAGTGGCATACAAACTCTTGCAGCACTGAGCAGGGCATTCGAGTTGGTGTTTATGTGTTTTCATTACGTGTTGCTTAGTAGCTCGTAAAAAGCAATATCCTCCTATAAGTCTGTATCACAACTTAAATTAGGACTTTACGGGAACAATTACAGGCTGAGGAAAAGGAAAAGTGATGACTGTAAGGTCAGTCAGGGTGAGAGCTACCCCAAAAGTAAATCCATTGATGTTTCAGGACTGCAAAAGAGTTGGAAGATGAATGTCCTTGTGGTTGTATCTGCACTGATGACTAACCAGGAGTCCAGCCTTGCTCTTCATTCTGTACTCCAGCATTCACAGTCATGGCCTTTCCACTTGGGCTGAGCACAGCCCTTGTCCATGTGCTCTGCACACATGAGGTGCTGAGGGAGTAAATAAGCTGCAATTCTATCTAGTTACCCCAAGTGCAACTCCTGCTCAGCAGTGGGATAGATGTGACTTCAGGGTCTGTCACCCATGTGCCTGCTGCCAGTGAGGCAAGAAGGCTTGGTGAGCTGCTGCCTGCTATTGTGGGCTGTGGTGGGTGGAAGCAGTTTCTTCCTTGCAGCAAAGGGACCAGAGGCACTCCATGCAGAGCCATGGGACCAATTACTGATGGAGGGTGGCTTTGATGGAAGTGTTTGCAAATATCCAACACCTAGCAAAGGCCTGGCCTGTGTCCTGGCCAGTCCTGGTGGCTCTGATGCCTGAAATGCAGCAGCAGTACTGAAGGTTTGGGGGAGAGTCAGTAGTTTTTGTAGCTCAGGGGGTCATTCCAGTAGAAGAGTAAAGGACAAGGATGCAGGGGCCTTTAGCACAGGATTGAAAAACATAGTTTTTCATATAAGGGGTGAAAGTAGGAGCAAGGCCCTTGCATGGGTCTTGCTGGGACATAGAAATGGTTTCCTTTGGGAGAACAGGAGTCACAGCTGCAGGTTCCTTCCAGGAAGGGTCATTCACCCTGCCCTAAGTTCATGCTGTGTGAAACGGCCTGGTTTGTGTCTGTTAGGGATTTAGTGCTGGTTCTTGCTTCTGGGGCTTTAACAGTGTCCGTGGCTCTTTGTGTTGAGCAGGGACCAGCGCATCAGCCAGGATGTGGAGAGGTTCTGCAAGCAGCTCAGCTCCATGGCCAGCAAGCTTGTCATCTCACCCTTCACACTGGCCTACTACACATTCCAGTGCTTTCACAGGTAAGGATGCATCCTGGCCCTGCTTTCACACCTCTTTCCTATGCTCTTTCTTGGAGCCTGGTACCTATGTCAAAATGGATGGATGTTTGTATGCATGAGTGAGTAGTGTCTGCACTCCAAAGGGAATTCTGCCTTGGGGATGCTGGGGTGTGTAGCGCTGGCCCCCAAACCTCTGTGAAAGCCAAGAGAGGTGACAGTTGAGGGCTCTAACTGTTTGAGTCTGATGGAGCAGGGATGTCATTTTGCTTTAACTGACTTCTCTTTCTCCTCCTCTGTAGCACAGGCTGGCTAGGCCCGGTGAGCATCTTTGGGTATTTCGTCATTGGGACGATCGTAAACAAAGTACTGATGAGCCCAATCGTGTCTAAACTTGTGCAGCAGGAAAAGCTGGAGGGGGATTTCAGGTGAGTCCCAGCAGGGTAGTGTTTTTAATGACTCTTGGCAGCTCCTGCAGAAGTGTCATTGTTGTCCTGGTTCAGTGCTGTGTATGCAGCTACTTCTCTTGTCCATGACTTTGCCCCTTGCTTGCCTGGTCTTTGCTGGTGCCTTGGCTAGGGCTGTGTTGAAGATGGAGCTTCCTTGGGTGCAGATGCAAGTTCAGTGAACTGCATTTACTGACAGAAATCAGGTTTCTGTTTCATCACCACTTTCATGAAGTGCCCAAACCAGCACAGTCTTTCCATATGCTCTGTAACTCACCTCATTCCCTTGCAGGGTTGGCTGGGTGTGTGGCAGGGGTTTTGCAGCTTTCCCTGGAGCTCAGGGCATCCAGGGACAGCAGCAGAAGCTGGTGTGGCACAGGGAGCCCAGACCAGGGCAGTTGGTTGTGGTGATTCTGCATGGTGGAGATGCTTGAACTAGCAGCAAACATGAGGCTCAAGGGCTAAGAAAATGTGCAGAGAGCAGGATACCAAACAAATGCACTACTGAGCTGGTCCAGAATGATGTCACCTTGTGCTAAGCCTTGGTCCCTGATGCCTTTTTGAGTCTATTGAGTATTTCTGTAAAGAAATTCCTCAGATCATTGCTCTGACAGGCACAAGTTTCCTCTACAAGGGTTTACAGAATTCACTGAGCATTTGTGCACAATTATGGTGTTTCTTTGGTTGTCCAGGTTCAAGCACATGCAGATTCGTGTCAATGCAGAACCAGCTGCTTTCTACAGGTTAGTAGTGTTCATTTCTTTATATCTTCATAAGAATCCTTCCAGTTCAGGGCATCCTTGTGTTCATGTATCCCAGAGGAGCCCAAGTCCTGTTGCTGGTGCCAGAGCTTTCAGTCCTCTCCATTCTGCTGCAGCATCATACAGCCATGACACTGTTCTCTTTTGTGCATCATCCACAGAAATAATCCACAGTAACTAGAGGCAATTATTTTTCCTCTCTTTAAACATCCCCAGAGGCCAGATACAGATTTGGTGCAGGCTTAGAGACCATTGCTGATATTTTGCTAGATCCTTACCTGGAAGATTGATCAAAGTCTTACTGTCTTTCATTCCTCTGAGGACTTGTTGCATGTTGCTTCTGGCCCCATGCTGCTGCTGCTAACCTGTGTGTCTTCTGTGGGTGTTGTATCCTGGCCACCTTACCTCTGCTTGCTCTTCTTAGTCAGTCTGTACCCTGACCCTCCCTATGTTGTACTGGTGCTCTGAATTTGCTCAGTGCCGTTTACCCCAAGGCTGAGCACACGATCAGGAGCCTGGCAGCACCTCCCCATTTAGTGACGCCCTGAAGTCTGTTGAGCTGCTGCTTGGCTCACAGAAATTTGAGAACCCAGGAAAAGAGCTGTGATTTTGCTGTAGCTTGTGTTGGGGTGGCAGGAAGTTGTTGCTTCTTTCTTGTCACGAGTCTGCCCTTGCCCTGCTGCAAAATTGCACTTCTTCCAGGAAATGAAGCCAGTAGTGGTTGTCCTTGCTCTGGACTTCCCTTCCTGTGATCTGTATTTGGCTCCTTCATGCTGTAATGACTGGGCATTTCAAGCATTGTGGTGCTGTCCCCAAAGTGGTTTGATTCAAAATCACTGATTTCATAAAGATTTATATTGACCAGCATGAAAGTAGTTTAAATAACTGAAATCAATCTTGGTTTGCATTGGCAAGTCTGAGTTATTTCTTTGTGAACTGGTTGATTCTTACTGGTCGAAGATAGTAATTTGTAATGGAGAAGATACTCTAATTACATGCTCTTATTTGAGCTGCAGTACTTTTCCTTGTAATTTTGAAGTTTTTTATTCTATTAATAGGTAGAAAATAGAAAGTGAATTTTTACACCAGAAAACAATGTCTTGCTTCAGTACAGTGTGTTAGTAGAAAAGCTTCACTTTGGGGAAAACTACAATTTAGGTTACAGAATCATAGCATCACAGAATGGGTCAGGTTGGAAGGGACCACAGTGGGTCATCTGGTCTGACCTCCCTGCTTAAGCAGGGTTGGCCTAGAGTACATGACTCAGGATTGCATCCAGATGATTTTTTAATATCTCCAGTGAGGGAGACTCCATGGCCTCTCTGGGAAATCTTGCACCAATCATTTTCATGGTATTCATCTTCATTAAAAAATAAAGGAATTTTTTCAAAAAGTTGCATTTCTAGAATTCTGCAAAAGGAAGAGCTGTGATGAGTGGCTGGTTTGGATTGCTCGACTACTCTAGCTTGTGATCTTTTCCTCTTGAAACTGCCTAACTCTTGTTTTGGTAAAGGAAGAAACAAAAGCTGAGCACTGTCACCTTTTTACTTCTATTGTTTCTAAGCCTTCAGCAAACTTGCTTTAAAAGGGAAGTGAATGGGAGGAAAAGAGGAAACCAATATAGCAATCTTTCCTCATCTGCAGCAGAAAATAATGGTCCATCTCAGCTTTAACTCCTTGTGTCCAGGGCTTTGTCCTCACTGAATACACAGGCAGCAAAGATTGCAGGTCAGTAGTTACCCGAGATGGGTTGTAGGACAGTAATGCCAAACTGATTTCTAACTGGATGCACTTTTTGAGAAAATAAATTTTTCTAAGCACTGAGGATCTTTAGAAATGAGACTTCAAAAATCTTAATTTGGATGCTTTTGCGCAGTGCCTTATGTACTCGAGCCCTGTTGCACCGACCGTAGTGGGAGCATGGGTGTGCACTGGGCACAAGCCTGTGTTGGATGTCAGGGGCAATGGCAAGATAGGAGTCGAGATGTGGAGTGCTCTCTGCATTTTGCCACGTGAGGGCAGCCCAGCCCTTGCAGAGCAGCAGAAGGAGCTGTCACGCTTGCTGCAGGTGGTGGTTTAGAACCGAGATGTCTCCTTGCTACTGTGTCAGCCTGGCCACGGGAGCATCACTGCTAATTGCGGTGGTGGGCTACCTGATGGAGATACCCCCGGGAAAGGGGGAATTATGGGGCTGGAATCACCCACACTGAGGACTGCACTGCTCAGGGCTTGTCTGTCCCACACCTGTGGAGTGGGGAACAGGAAGAGGTGAACTGGGGCTGCTGGCCATGCAGGCTGTGTGGGCTTATTATCACTCCCTGGACTCCCCTCTGCCCTTTCCTTTCTGGCTCCAGCTGTGTAATGGTGCCATCCCTCTCTTCCACCGAGGCTCTGCTTGAGAAGTGTGTTTGACCTTGGATGTGCATTGCTTCAGGCTGGGGCCTTGCTGACAGTATCTAGCCTTGCCTCATCTCCTTCTGTGTGCAATAGCAGCATCTACAGGCTCTGGGAGAGATTTGCAGGACTAGTTTTAGCCAGTTTCTTGATGATGCTCTTCAGGAAGGTGCTCTTGGCTGTTCAGTTCCTTCTCCATGAAGAGCTTGTTACTTGGAGGCGAAGATGCCAGAGCCATTCTAAGTCTCAAGCCCCTGGTCCTGGGATGTCTGTGGCAACGTTGCAATCTTATTTTACAGGGCCGGGCGAGTGGAGCACATGCGGACGGACCGGAGGCTGCAGAGCCTGCTGCAGACCCAGAGGGAGCTGATAGGCAAGGAGCTGTGGCTATACAGTGAGTGGGAGGTTTAGAGGCTGAAGTGGGGTGTGTGGTAGCTCTGTTGTGGCCCACAGGCTTGGGAACCCTACTGGGAGAGCAGTTGTGTGGGTGCTGGGTCTTCTGCCTCTTGCTGGTTCATGAAAGTCCTGAGGGTGAAGAGAGGGTACCTACAGTTCTGAATTGGAATCCTGTGGTGTAAAAGCCTCTTAAAGAGGTAAAGTTGTGGAAGACCAGAATCTGCAGGAATCTGCGTTTTGTGGGGCAGGTGTTCAAAGGCCAGGACAAGAGGGAAGGGCTTGAGCTTTGGGGAGAGAGAAGACTGTGTATGTGTATGTTGGGAGCTGTGGAAACTTCTTTCCTAGGGAGCCTGTTCTTTAAGCATAATTGTCCCCTGAAAATCTCATTTTTCCCATTGTAACCAAGTCCAAGTTTGGGCTTTAAATGACCACTATAAAGACAGTTCTTCCTCATCTCACCAGCATAGTGAGCTTCTGAGCAATGTGCTGGAGGGAGAGCCCTGAACACAGATATCTGTGGGAATTTGGGGTCCTAAGTATTTCTGCCTGTCATGTGCTCCAAGACACACTTTACAGCAAACAACCTGTCCTGGTTAGGAGTGGTATTCCCCAATTTGGTGTTTCCACTGAAACTCCCCAGGCCTTGCACTGCTCACTCACTCCCCCAGCACCTGCCCCTGCGGCAGGATGGAGGGAATTGGAGGCACTAAAGTTAAAGATCACGGGTCGAAATACAAACAATTTACTAAGAAGACAGCAATGAAGTAAGAAAAATGAACTGTAACAACTAGATTAATAACAGAGTGTACACGACAGGCAAACGACTCACAAGTGATCACTTATCATGCTCACTGGGGCTGCCTGGGCCCCTCAGTACCCTCCTCATGACCTGAGGTATTATAGAATAAGCCCAGGGGCCTAGTGGCCCTTCCTTGCTGCTGCAAAAGTAAACCATGTCCTGGCTTGGAACCAGGACACCGTCTCACTCCAGAGCTTCCTTTTTGCCCTTCTTCCTGTTTACTTTGAGTCAGCCAGGCCCTTGAAGCGTAGAAACAAGCAGGCTAAGTGGCTTTTGCCCCATGGTGGTTCCTGAGTTGTGTCTCTGAATGATGTTCCTCTGCTCAGGGGCCTGCCCCAAAGTGCTCTCTGTTTGGCAAATGGATTTTCACCCTGGTTCTTGTGCTGTCCTGCAAAATGGGTTCTGCTCTGGTGCATCATAAAGGGCTGAGTCATGGGTCTTCCTCTGACTGGACCATGAGTCCTGCACTTGAGCCTGGCTGGGACAGATGTTCCTACTCTAACTCACTGTCTTCTCAATGTGCTTCTGCCCAGTTGGGATCAACACCTTTGACTACCTGGGCAGCATCCTGAGCTACGTGGTCATTGCCATTCCCATCTTTTCTGGGGTCTACGGTGATCTGAGTCCAACAGAGCTCAGTGCTCTCGTCAGCAAGGTGAGCAAGGGTGATCTCCCAAAACCCATTGTGAAGGGTGAGCAGGCACTGAGGATGAAGGTTTTGTATGGGACTGGTGGCCCTGGAGCTAGATAACCTGCAGCACTTTATCTTCAGGTTAGACTGTCCCTACCCACAGTGTCATGGAAATGGGAGCTTGCAGCCAGCTGGTAGATTATTAACCTGGGAGTGAGAGTTGTCAAGGACACATCTACATAAGTGTTTCCTAGCTCAGACCTGTGTGTCTAACCTCAGGAAGTTAGAAAGTGTCTGGCTTTCAGAAGTGCAGGACAGGATGGGGTTGATGCAGTGCTGTGGGTCTGGGTTATGCCCTGGGCTACTGCTCACAGTGAGCCTGAACTGGCTTGCGTTTGCCTTCTGATGTGACTCGTTACCAGATAGTCAAAACTGGCTTGGATGGTGAATGCAGAGCTAAAAATAGCTAAATGGGCACTGCTGGGCTGAGACACTCTGCTTTGAGCCATATATGGTGCTGGAACAGGATTTGGTGGCATGGATCTGTGTGACTTAGGGCAAGTGTGCTGGGCCTTGGGCTGGCTAGCAGGCAGTCTGCAAACACCATCCCTTTGTCCCCCTGGTAAAAACTGCTGTACTGAGCAGAGAAGCCCTGCTCCTTTCTTTTTGAAAGATGACTGATGGTCATCATCTTCACTCGCACCGCTCTGGGTGACCACCACCCCTCCCTCACCTTGCTGAGACAGCTGACATGGCCAAATATGTAGACTCCTTGGCTGCCTCCTTGCAGTCATGGAGTAAGGGGCAGTGCCCCAGCTCAGCACCGACGCTTGCTCTGGTATGTGATTTCTCCCCAGAATGCCTTTGTTTCCATCTACCTCATCAGCTGCTTCAGCCAGCTCATAGATCTCTCCAGCACTGTGACTGATGTAGCTGGCTACACACACAGGTGAGCTCTGTGAGCAGGTCTTTGCGAGGACAAGAGATCTGTGGGACAGATTTGCCCAGGTCTGTGCTAGAAAAAATATGAAACAGTTGCTTGTGTGTAAACATGGGCAAATTTGGATATTGTGAGGAGGCTGCTGGAGTTGTCCCTGGCATTCATGCAACCTCTTGTTTGTCTAGAATTGGTGAACTGGAGGAGACCTTGCTGAGCCTTGGCAGAAAAAAAAATGATAACTACTCAGAAGTCAAAACCAGTTGGGGTTTGGATGGGTGAGTCTCCTCTCACAACTGGCTGGCTTGCAGTTTGTGTGCCAGAGTGTGGGACTGTCACGAGATGGAGCTGGCCCTTGGTGTGTCAATCTGTTGCATGCAGTTGGTTGGAGCAGGTGGTGCTCACTGTGATTTGTCATTCCTGGGGTGTGTGGGGCAGGGCTGCTGTCACAGAGGCACACGAGGTCTAAGGTGCCTGATCTTTATCAAATCTCAGCATGGTCACTTACCCCCAGATCTCTCCTCCTTTGTCTTGGTGGTGGCCCAGCAGCCATTCTGAGGAGGACGCAGTGCCAACGGACACAGCTTTCCTTCTGGAGCAAGTGACACTCTCAGTGCCATCCTCTGGCAAGCTGCTCATCAAGGACTTGAGCCTCAGGATCTCACAAGGAAACAGTGTGATGATTGTGGGAAACACTGGCACAGGGAAGACATCTCTCCTGAGGGTCCTTGCGGGACTCTGGGAGAGCACGCGGGGTAAGGACTGCTGCTTGCCTCAGCTTTCTCTTTCTCAACCAGGGCTGCCCTGAGTTTGGAAGATGGCAGTGTGGGGTTGTGAGGCTGATGCCTGCTTGTGATGAATGTGTCACTGATCAGCTGATTGGAGCTACCCGTCTCTAACACATACTCTGGCTCACATTGCTTTGCCCTGTGTTGCAAACACACCTTTTGTGGGATTTGTTGGCTACTTTCATGGAACAAGACTACACATGGGGTGGTGGGGAGCTGCTGGCTGGTGCTGCAGGCTTGGTGTGAGTGTGTGTCTGTGCAGGGAACATCAGGATGCTGACCTGCTTTGGCCCCCGGGGAGTGATGTTCCTACCACAGCGGCCCTTCTTCACTGACGGAAGCCTACGCGAGCAGGTGAGCCCAGGGCTGTCTCTACTGTGGCCTCAGCTCTGCTCCCAGCTGTGGTCATGCTCTGTGACCTGTGTGCTACACACAGGCCTGCAAGAGGGAGGATGCCTGTGGCTGCTCTTTCTCTCATGTCTAAGTTCATGCCAGTGACATTGCGTCTCTGATACCAGGACTGTGTCCAGCTCCCTCTGACATGGTTTCTTTTGCTCTGTTAAACAGGTGATTTATCCCCTGAAGGAGATCTATCCAGTTTCAGGTATGTGGAAATTCATTAGAGCAATTAACAACCCTGTGGTGTTGGCTCACTGTCCTGTACCCAGTGCAGCTCCTCCCCTGCCATGTCCCATCAGAAATGCTTACCCATTTTGCTTTTGTTCTGCTTTTCCCTAGAAGCTTTAGCTTAGTGTATGTAAAGGTCATCTCTGTGTTCCCTCCCTTTTGGGAGAGAACATATTCACCTGATTACAACATACTCTCTTAACACCATGAGGACAATCAGGCCATGCTCTGCCTGCTGTGCTAGACATGATATATGTTGAGGCATCTTGCTTTTGGGATACGTCTGATCTGTCTGGTATAGCCTGACTTTGTGCAAGCCATGCTTGCCTTCATCTCATTTTCCATCCACCTCATATGATGTCCCAGGGCTTTGCATGCTGTTGAGACCAGAATATATGGATCTTGTCTCTCCCTCTGCCCAAGCCAGACCACATGTGGTCTGCTGTAGCTTGGAGATGTCCAGCAGTGTTACCTGCTGCTTTCAAACCCTTGGGAGTCACAGTCTTGCTGAGAGTAACTGCAGCCGTCAGCTAACGTTGTGGCTCTTCAGCAGCTGCAGAGAGGTCCATGGCAGATGCACAGCCCTTCTACTCAGCTTCCATAGATGCTGACTGTATCAGCTGAAGCGTATGTTCTGATCCACACCTGGTTTACCTAGAGGTTTTTCTCGTCCCACATAAGGTCCTTTTGCCAGCTGTTACCTGAGCCCTGCTCCCATGACTCTCATCACCTGCAGTGTGCAATAGGAGAGCAGCTGGTGGGCAGGGCCTTGGCAGTTGAAGCCTGGATCCTTGTGTTCTGTCTGTGTCTGTCTGTGGCCATGGACTGAGCCAAATTTCAGATGTATCTGTGGAGCCCAGCTACCATGCTGCTCACAGACACAGTTACCATTTTTAAGGAAGGTCAGTCTTTGGGGCTATCTGTGACAAAGCTCAGGACCCAATATAATTAAGTGGTCAGGTCAACTATACTGACCTCAGGAGATCCTTCAGTCCTTCCCTCCTGCCCTGTTGAGTCCTCCATGCAGCTGTGACCTCAGCACATATTGTCCCTGCTTATGCTGTATGGCTTTCTCCCTAGGGTCTGCAGATGATGAGAGAATTGTGCGATTCCTGGAGCTGGCTGGGCTGGTGAGTCCCTGGTCACACTGCCTCCTTCTTTCCTGGTGTTGTCAGTGAGGGAAGAAGGGATGAGCTCATGTGGCAGCACAGCATGACTGTGGTGGACATAAGTGGGGACATTGTAGCTGGGACAGGACTGTCTAAGGGACAGGAAGAGGAGGAGGACTCTGGAGCAAATTCAGCTCAAGTGGGAAAAGAGAGGGAATTACAGGAAGAGGGTGGTTATGCTCAGGGCCATGGGCTGACAGGGTTGGGGACTGTCTTCACAAGTCTGCTGTGCTCTCTGCAGACTGATTTGCTGGCAAGGGCTGGAGGACTGGATGAGCAAGTGGACTGGAACTGGTAAGGGAACTCATTATCTGTGTGAATTTGGGTGGTTCCTGAGAGTGGGGAACAATTCTAAGCAGATGCACATTGCTGCTGGCCTTACAAACATCTGTGTCCAGCTGTGTCCTGTGAGAGGTGGGCACTATGTAGGGACAAAAGCCTTTATGCCCTGAGCTTCTATGCCAACAACCACCAGCCGTGGTGGTCTGCAGGCAGATGACTGCACAGGGGTGCAGAGCCAGTCCCAGCAGTGAGGGGGGCATGAGGGACACACAGGGACAGTTGCTTGCTGGGGTCTTCTATATCAGCAACTGTCAGATTTTCAGCAAATGAACTCTGTTTGTTGAGGGAGATGTTGAATTTTGACCCTGCTGCAGGTATGACATCCTGTCACCAGGGGAGATGCAGAGGCTCTCATTTGCACGGCTCTTCTACCTCCAGCCAAAATATGCAGGTGAGTGACTGACTACAAAAGAAAAGAGGAGAGAAAAAAAAGGCAGGGTCTTTGGTGTAAAGAGAAGCTGGTGCAGAGACAGCTCATGAAATTGCTTATTTGCTAGGAGCATGCTTCACCTCGGCCATTATTTTAGCAGCATAGCACACAGAAGATTCAGGTGTGAAAATATTTCATTATTTGTGTGGAGGATGGTAAATCAAGAGGCTATATATAAGACATTCTCTTAGGGAGCTAGTGATTAATGTTCTTGGTCCAGGTCCAGTGGCACCTGAAGAAGCCCCCTGTCAGCATGCTCACCAGTTGCTACATAAAGAAGTAAGTATGATAGAGAATGTGGTGTCAGCTACCATATCTGAAGCTCATGAACATCTGTGGAAGCAGTGTGGGAAATTCAGCCGTAATGTGGCAAAAGAAGACAAGGAGCAGTGCAAGAAACAGTCCTCTGAGAGATCACAGAAACATCTCCCGTTCATTGGAGCAAATTCCTTTGCATAGCTAGATTGCTGGTCTCTGCTGGAGGCTGGGTGGGCTGTTGGAGGACTTGCCATGAGGGCCAGGATGGATGTGGGTGAACAGAGCCAGTGTCAGTAGCAGGTAGCCACATGTAAATACCTCTCCCCTGAAGCCTGTGGCACAGCTCAGTGATGTCTGGGCACAAGGAACCTGTGGATTGCAGACTAAAATCTGTAGAGTTGATGCAAACCAAGTTGAATTTATCTGCTCCAGATCTGTAGTGTTTACCCTTAACTGACAGGAAGGTGTCTCAGGCCACCATAGGTGGTCCACACAGGGTCCGGGCCAGAAGAATGCACGGGCTGCAGCTTTTGCAACAGTGGAGAATGAGGCAGTGGCTGACAGCTGTTGAGGGTGAGGAATGAGCTGAATGGTGTTGGTTTGGATGGATTCAAGGACTTGAGGGGAAGCACACCTTTCCCAGTTGACTGGCTGATGCCAGCTGTGCCAGAGGAGTATCAGTCATTAGGCTTCTCCTTATTTGCCTTCTGCAGATGCTCTTGGTGAACTCTGGTTAATACGTAAAGTGTTCTTGGTAGGTGCTGCTCTTTTGCCCTGGGGAGATGACTGGTCTGGATTTGTGGGGCATACAACTTTTCTTTCAGTGCTAGATGAAGCCACCAGCGCTTTGACAGAAGAGGTGGAGCGTGAACTGTACCGTTTGTGCCTTCAGCTGGGCATGACACTGATCAGCGTGGGACACAGACCCAGCCTGGAAAAGGTGAGATGGGGAGACCGTGCTCCATGCCTCCCTGGTGGTGGCAAGACAGAGGAGGCAGAGGGGGTCCCTGGTGAGCAGAGAGGAGTGACTAAGGCTGGAGGGCCTCACTGTGGGAGGACATGCACTTGTAGAGACAACCCTCAGACACTGTTATTGAATTGCAGTTCCACAGCTGGATTTTGAAACTTCATGGGGAGGGAAGATGGGAGCTCACTCGGTGTGAGAAGGTGAAGCAGCTCCCCTCTGGAGAAGGACACTGAAAAACATGCCCTTGTCTGGCCAGCTGCAAAACCTGCACACGTCTGGGAGAGCTCTCAATAGCAGACACAGAGATACCAAGCCAGCAGTTGTCAACAAGGGCCAACACAGTGCAAGACCAGTTCTGAATTTTGCTGATGGACACAGTGCATGTCTGAACTCATGGTGTGGGGTTCTGCCAGGAGCGGGCACAGCTATACCATTCTTCTCCCATCCTCCTCCTGCCTCTTATGGGGAAAAGGGCTGAGCTGCTAGACTGCCCAAAGAGAAGATGCTGCCTCACAGGGCGTATAGAAACAATGGCCAGAGGAACCTCCACTTTGTCTGGAATGCAGTGGTGCAAGGCTAGGATGCAAACTTCTGTTCTGCCCTCTGTGCCTTGCTGGGGAGCTCTGTCTTTAATACACAGCTCTGCAGAACAGATTTCTATACCTTGTGGCTCTGTTGAGGGTTGTGCTCCTCAGCAGGAGCCAAGAGATGCACTGTAAGAGGAGGAGAGTGCTGGCACAGAGAAGAGGTGTGTCTCTGCTCTTCTTAATATACACTGCTACAGGTGAAAGGAACATTTTTGTATTAAAATCTGGGGCCTGTTTTCAAACTATTTTTATGGAGAAAAGTCAATATTTGTTAACCAGACTGCTGCATGTTTTCTTTCTGGGGTTTGCTTTGTATATTGGCAATGGTCCTGGACTAGACTATTGCTGAAGAGCACTGCAGGCTCAGAATAATATACCTATCCAGGGCTAGGCATCCTGCCCTGCTGCTACCTCCACAGCTACTGCAAGGCACAAGGAATCCCAAGGAGGACTTTTGTCTCTCTGCAGGGGAGGAAACAGCTTGTTTCCCCTTTTATATGTTCTCTCCCATGCCTCACGTAGGTATATGGAAACAGCTTTTGAGGGTCACTGTGTTGTGGAGAGGTCACTCTGAGACTGCAGTGGAGGTGTGGTCTCTGAGCACTTACTGGCCACCACTTGCTTAGTGGCATTTCTGGATATTTCCCTGGTTTTGCAGTGAAGGAGGAGGAAGTGGCAGAGCCAAGCTAGCAGCCCTTCTGCTTCTCCAGCAGGTGCTTGCGCCCCTCTATAATCTGCTGCACGGCTTCCTGGTCATCCAGGGTGGTTAGGTCCCCAAGCTCACTGGTCTTGTCCTCCACAATTTTCCGTAGCACTCGACGCATAATCTTACCCGAGCGTGTCTTGGGCAGCCGGTGTGTGACCTATGATGGGGAGGAGCAGAGCTAAGGCTGAGGAAAAGCGGGTGGCCAAGATGCCAGGGTGGATGTTGGACCAGCTTGCATGTGTTACCTGGACATAATCTGGAGCTGCATACTTAGCGATCTTCTTTGAGATGAGCTCCTGTAGCTCGACAGTGAGAGTCTCCTGCGTGTAGCCACTCTCCTTCTTCAGCACAACAAACACATAGGCTCCTGGCAGAGGGACCACCAGATTACTGAGCACTGTGTGCACCATGCTCCTAAGAGCCTGCCTGGACCTAGTGCCAGGAGAGGTCCCTCTCTGCTGGTAGCCTTAGAATCATAGAATCACCTGGGTTGGAAGAGACCTCAAAGATCGAGTCCAACCCTACCATCATTACTAGACAATGGCACTCAGTGCCACATCCAGTCTCATCTTGAAAACCCACCAGGGATGGTGAATCCACCACCTCCCTGGGCAGCCTATTTCAATGTCTGATTACTCTTTCCATGAAAAATCTCTTCCTAATGTCCAGCCTAAACCTCCCCTGGCAGAGCTTGAGTCTGTGCCAAAAGGGATGCTTTGTAGCCAAAGCTGTAAGTGCTTTTGGACATGGTGCTGCTGCCACCTTATGCAAAGCATAGTTGGTCTCATGCAGGTTGTGATGGCTGGGCCGAGATCTCTGCTTAATATGCTGTGTGGTGTGGACACAGCATTGCTACCAGGGGTTGATGTGACAATGCAACTTCCCACTGCAGTGCCATAGCCCTGGGGGAGATGTTTCAGGGGCAGGAAAGCAAGCATCTTACCTTCTCCCTTGATCTCATGTGGGTAGCCAATGACAGCAGACTCTGCCACTGCCACGTGGTGATTCTGGAAGAGAACAGGGTTGGGGTTTGGCTTGGTGCTTTCAGCAGGCTGGCTGCCACTTGGGAGCTGCCCTGATCTGACTTGGCAGCTGCAGCCCACAGTAATGCAGAGAGGTAAGTAAGGGCCTCAGGTCGCCTCTGCCCTTTTTCCTTCTTGCCTCAGTAGGTCTGCAAACACAAGTTGGCCCTCCTGACTGTCCGGGCACACTGTTGACTCATATTCAACTTGCCATTGACAAGGAACCCCAGGTCCCTTTCCACAGCACTATTTTCCAGCATCTCATTCCTCAGTCTTTACATACAGCCAGGGTTGCCGTGTCCCAGGTGCAGAATCTGGCACTTACCCTTGTCAAACTTCATATGGTTGGTGATTACCCAGCTCCCTAATTTGTCTAGGTCTCTGCAAGGCCTTTGTGCCTTCAAGGGAGTCAAAAGCTCCTCCCAGTTTTGTATCATCTGCAAATTTGCTTAATAGTCCTTCAAGCCCTGCATCCAAGTCATTTATGAAGATACTGAAGAGCACTGAGCCTGAGATGGAGCCCTGCAGAACCCACTAACGACCAGTCACCAGCCTGATGTAATCCCGTCAACCATAACCCTTTGTGCCTGACCTGTGGAGCCAGGTGCTCACCCATTGCATAGTGTGTTTGTCCAGAAGGATCTTATGAAAGATGGTATCAAAAGTTTACTGAAATCTAAAAATGTTACATCAACTGGCTTCCCTTGATCAGCTAGGTGGGTTACCTTGTCATAAAAGGAGGTAAGTTATGACAAGCAGGACTTTCCCCTCAGGAAGCCATGCTGGCTGTGTCCAATGACTACATTATCTTTCAGGTGTTTTTCAGTACCTCCCAGGATAATCTTTTCCATAATCTTACCAGGTACAGAAATGAGGCTAACAGGCCTGTAGTTACCAGGGTCATCATTGCTGCCCTTTCTGAAAATCAGGACAACATTAACCAGCTTCCAGTCAAGTGGGACCTCTCCAGATTCCCAAGACTGTTAAAAAATCATTGAGAGAGACCTCACAATGACATCAGCCAACTCCTTAAGCATTCTAGGATGAATCCAATCAGGCCCCATAGATTTGTATGGATCCAGCTGGAGCAGCAGGTCCCTCATAGCATCCGAGTCAACTGGGAGTATAATGTTCTTGCAGTCACTGTTCTCCAGCTCAGGGTGCTGGGACACCCTTGGCCCACCATCAGTGTTGACAGCAGAGGCAAAGAAGGCATTAAACATCTCTGCCTTGTCTACATCCCTGTTTATTCACACACTTATGTGCAGTATCAGCCTTATCAGGCTTTGTCCTTTCCTTGCTGCAGAGAGCCAGAATGGTAGGGGAAAGGGTGGGAAGCTATTCCCATAGGCAGGGTGTGGGTCTGACACTGTTCCCCACTGCTACAGCAACAGTGTGTTTCTGTCTGGGTATTTCAAAGAGGCCTCCCTGAGCATCATCAGGGTGCCGTTGCTATATCCTTGGATGGCTTTACCTCCCACCCACACCTCTTACCACAACATCCTCCACCTCTGCAGTGCCCAGCCGGTGTCCACTGATGTTAATGATGTCATCCAGACGTCCTGTTAGCTGGTAGTAGCCCTCACTGGTACGAAACACACCATCTCCAGTGAAGAAAAACCCTACAGTGGCCAGAATCATGCCATGGTCACTCACTGCAGTGAGCATGTGAGCTGCTCACCAGCTGTGCTCTCACCTTCCTCCCTTCTCCTCTCTTTTGACACCAGGGCTCATGTACTCTGCTCCTTCATCAACTGCTCAAGGTGAAGATGCCTACCTTCCTTGTTAGTCTTTGGCCTCTGTTGGTACCTGGTCTATCATCAGGCTCCTTCCCTTATTCTGCAGTGCACTGGCTAATGCCCAGCCTACCTCATCACCATAATCTGGGAGCACTTTGCTCCAGTGCAGCTGCCTGTGGTCTTGCTGCTTCTCTTTGCTTCGCATTGACAATGCTCTTGGGCTGGCTCAGTGCCTCTGGAGGAATGACAGAAGCTGACAGGGTTTGCAACAGATGCACCAAGAGGTCTATCTGTGCTTAAGGGGACTGGGGGCAAAGCACAAATCCACAGCCTTAAAACTGTGTGATCCAATAGGGAAGGTTGATGAGAGAGACCCATTCCCAGGGCAGTGCTGTGGTATCAGGCCTGGGGAGATGAAGGGCCTCAATGCAGTGGAAGGTCTATGGAAGAACAAAGCATCAGTACCAGCTCTCCTGAGTCCTGCCTTCATGCAGAAAGCCAGCAGGCAACCCAACCAGGCCCAACCAAACCAGTCTGCAGTGTCCTGGCACATATTTTCCTTACCTGGATAAGGAGTCAGATAGGTTTCCAGAAATCTCTTGTGGTCATTGTAAATGGTTCGTGCCATACCTGGCCAGGCTTGTGAGATGCAAAGGGCTCCAGAGATGTTGTTTTCCAGAAGGACATTTCCCTGTAGAATAATTACCTTTTAGTAACTATGCCTGAGGGTATTTGGGATGTTTAGTTACTGCCTGTTCAACAATTCTGCAATGAAAATGTCAGGGAAGGCAGTGAGGAGGGTCCTGGCTCCCCATTCACACAGGTCAGGCTCAGTCTCTCCCAGCAGATGTCTGCAACATATTGCCTAACATGGTGGGATGCAAGGCCCCTCTGGGGAGACTGGAGCTCCCTGCCCAGCTACCTTGCCTTGGAAAGACATGCCAGGGGAGCCCAAGCAGAGGGCTCTCTGTCTTATCGGGACGGTACAAGCCAGGAAACAACTCAACTTCTGCACTAGTTGGAAGAACAGCTTCACTCGTCCCTTTCCAGTAAAGAAGGTTGCTGTCTAGCAGAGGTGAGCAGGGAAGACATGCTGATAGATCAGTACTCCCATCAGCAAGTACACACTGCAAGTGCCTGGGGGAAAGCAAGCTGAGCCAGTGCCTGGGCTGCAGGTTA